CTTAGATTGTCTACTGTCAACCTCACCCCATTCCAAAGAGGTCTGTAAAGGGCATGCAGAAGCGCACCAAAGTGCCCTAACATCCCTGTCCTACTGTCGCCACTTATTTTTATCCATTTCCTGTATTCATAATCATGTTTATACTTATAACTGTTATCTTATACATGCTTGACAAATAATAAATAAATAAATAAATAAATAAATAAATAAATTATTGGACACACTGAAAATGAGTAGGAGGAGGAGGAGGGAGTTGTCAGAATTCGGAACTACACGGGAACTACAGCTGTTGCTTATAACAAAGATGCTGGACAGTCTGAGATTTGGCTAGTTCTTTATTAGCAAAAGAATTTTGAGGAAAGCCTAAGAGTGACTAAAGATAATGAGGGTACTTTTTTATTTCAAATAATTGATGAAAGAGCCTTTCTGAATAATCAAAATTTGAACACTTGTTAAGGAAAGGGCTTTTATTTTCTTATTCACAGCTACATTGCCTATTTAAGACAAAGACATGCTTCACAATAAAGCTCTCTTTCTATTTTTCAACATTTTGTTGGAAAAAAAAATCTTACTAAACCGTGACCAACGGAAATAGGCTCCAGTTGAAACATTATACAACCGCATTTGGTTCCTCATATTTTCTACTTGTTTTCTTTTTGTGAAATTGATGCTAGTGCCTCGTGGTTGGTATCATAGTGTAAGAGGGTTTATTGTCAGTATACAGACAATAGTGCAGATGATCAAAAGTGTTTAATATCCTCCAGTGATGTCTTGATTGGAACTTAAAACCAAGTGACAGACAGTAAATGCGGAGATTCCCAAATTATTATTTTTCTTTCTCAGCACAGTTTGCTATTTGCTACAGTGACTCTTTCAGTAAACAGAATCTTTCCAGTGAAATAGTTGAGAATAGTGGTAGAGCAGTGGTTAGAATGCAATACAGGCAGTTCTCAACTTATAACAGTTCACTTAGTGACTATTCAAAGTTACAACTGCACTGAAAAAAGTAACTTATGTCCATTTTTCACGCTTATGACCATTGCAGCATGGACATGTGATTTACTTTCAGATGCTTGACAACTGACTCACACTTATGATGGTTGCAGTGTCCTGGGGTCATGTGAACATCTTTTGCGACCTTCTGACAAGCAAAGTCAATGGAGAAATCAGATTCATTTAACAACCTGGTTACTAATTTAAAAACTGCAGTGATTCATTTAAGAAATGTGGCAAGAAAAAATGTAAAATGGGGAAAATCTTACTTAACAAATCTCTCATTTAGCAACATAAAATTTGGGCTCAATTGTGGTCATAAGTTGAGGACTAGCTGTATTGTAGGCTAACTCACTGCTCACCGCCAGGAGTTCGAATCTTATCAAGCACAAGGTTGACTCAGCCTTCTATTCTTTGGAGGTCGGTAACATGAGGACCCAGATTGTGAGGTGCAATATGTTGACATTGGTAAACTGCTCAGATAATCCTGTAAAGTACTGTGAAATGGTATATAAGTCTAAGTGATATTGCTATATGTACTGTATGTGAAGGCAGATAAGCAGTAATTTTTCAGTATGCATGTGTGTATGTATGTATGTGTACATTGGAGGGGGGTAAGTATGATCATAAAGTTTTAATGGTTAAAACATCATACAGTATATTTTTAACAAGTGCATATAGAAGTCCTGAAAAAATTGTACAACTATTTTCAATCACTGTTAGAGATTCTCAGAAGTTGTTCCTATTTTAGAACAAAGGTGATATGGCTTTCTTATTCCTTAGGAAGACCTTCAGAAGTGAGATCAATGCTTGTTTATAGGTGTCACTGCATTATAAAGAAGCTGGATTTTGATGGACCATCTATAAAACTATGTTGAAAAAGAGAACTCTTTAAATGATCTTGTTGAATATAAAGCAAATATTCACAATCAGTAAACGACTGAGACCAGGAGATTCTTTTTGAATATTTTCTAATATTCTACTGTAGAAGATAATTTTCTTCATGTGGCATTCATGCAGTGTCAAACCTTTGTAAATATGAATTGCCTTAAGAATAGTTAAGAATTTATCCCAAATGGTAAGAGCCGAGGTGGCACAGTGGTTAAATGCAGCACTGCAGGCTATTTCAGCTGACTGCAGTTCTGCAGTTCGGCTGTTCAAATCTCACCGGCTCAGGGTTGACTCAGCCTTCCATCCTTCTGAGGTGGGTAAAATGAGGACCCAAATTGTTGTTGGGGGCAATATGCTGACTCTGTAAACCGCTTAGAGAGGGCTGAAAGCCCTATGAAGCGGTATATAAGTCTAACTGCTATTGCTATTGCTATAAGATACCGGCTACTGGATAACTGAAGTAACCAGCACTGTCTTATTATCCTAATTCCCCCCTCCCCTTTCATTCAAATTCTCAGAGATTGGTTGGACAGATTCCTACATTTTGCTTGGCAATGTGCCTCCTTCCTAAGGCTGAGAGAAAGTGACTGGATCAAAGTTTCCCAGATGGCTTTGTATCCAATGAGGGGCTAGAATTCACAATCTAGCCAGATGCTTAACTACTACAATGAACTGGCTCTCAAAGGTATTTCAGTCATCCTTTCTCTAAAGGCATTTTCAACGTGGGGGTGATGATAGTGATTGGATGCTCTTAGGGAATCCAGCAGCAGAATATATTGTAGCCAGAATGTACACCAATTGCAAAGAACAAACTCTCTGTAGTAATTGTATCCATCATCAATATGTATATTCAAGAAATAGAAAAGTACTGAATAATCCAAAAATAGAAATTTGCAGTTTTAAAAAAGTTTGTTTAGAGTTCAGTTTCCTTATTAAAGACATGTTGCCCAACATTGTTTAGGCATATTTCTTGGTTTGGGTTTATGGGACAATGGTTCCCAAAGTGGAAATACTTCTGCAGCCCCATAACTGGCTTTTTAGTATTTAACTCTTTATGGTGTTATGGGTTGGGGGAAAAAAGATGATTTATTTATGGGATATCTCCCTCTGTCCTTGTGGACATGACAGAGATCAGGTCCAGTTTCTCCATCTATACAGTTCCAATAAATCTAAGGAAATTATTGCCTTTCCAGAACAAAGCCTTATCAGAAAGAAAGAAAAACTACTTGGTTTAACAAAGGCAGAATGAAATCAACTTGAGCCAGCAGAGATCCAGCCCCATATAACTAAGGCAAACTTAATAAGGAAAATGTCAACAATGTAATCTTGTAAAGCTATCCTTGAAGTATGTTCTCCTGGTTTTATTGTAATGTGTTTATACTGTATGTTCGATGCTTGCTTTAGAGTGATCTTATTGCGATTGGTAATGAGCTGTAGCCTTTGATCACCATTTGTGACCTTCCTTGCCTGTTTCCCACAAGCAAAGTCAATGGGAAGGCCAGCAGGGAAGGGTACAAATTGTTTTGGTTAGTTACTCTTGCAACTTTTTCTCCTATCCAGTGGTGGGATCCTGCCAGTTGAAAAACCGGTTTGGTGACCACGTGTTTTGCTCCGCGCACGTGCACAGGTTTTACAAAACTTACCTCCTGGGGAGTAACACAAAGGTGCAGCTATCTGCTCTGCCGTGTGAATCAGCTGAGAGGATATAGGTAAGCAAAGCACGGGGGCAGGTGGGCAGGCCCATCTGATCATTGGAGCAAACCAGTTTGCTCCCAGCTGATCGTCAAAGCTACCAGTTTGCCTGAACTGGTCTGAACCAGCTGAATCCCGCCCCTACTCCTAACCATGAACAGCCTCCACCAGCTCTCCCAAGGTCTCCCCAGACCCAAATTAGATTCCGCTGTCTGTCAAAGTCTCACTCTGCCTCTCCAGACTTCTATGTTGTCCTCCCCAAAATTGTATGGTATATCAAACTAGAACTTCAAATCTGGTTTCCCGGATAATTAGCAGCCAACTAGAGTTTATATTAGAATCAATCAATCAATTAGTCCAAATTATTTTGGGCTTCATGATCATTCTATTTATCCTACAGCTGGCATTATAATTTGAGGCAGTTCTACAAAATGACTTGACATTAAAATGGAATAATAGCTGCAGCTAATAAAGGTAACCAAAAATACTCAGTGATTTAAATATGACTGATATTGAAAATACCAATATTCATGTGCATGATGCATTATCGTGTTGATGAGTTTTGGACCATAAACTTCAAGATATTTTCTTAAATTAACCACTGGGAATTTACAAAGCAAACACACAAATGTAAAGTATATAATTGTACATTTATAAAAGCCCTGAAAGGGAAGTACATAAGTAAGTAAATAATAAATATATTAAATGTCAGCCAGTGAAATTATACATTTAACTACTTAATATATTGTTCTTATTATAAAGCAAAACAATAAAGTTTACCTACGTGAAGTATAAATCACTTAACTTCAATGTCTTAGCAATATATTGTTCCGTAAAAACTAGCAAAATCATGGCAGAACAGTGTTTTATGCATTCCAATTACACAGGAAAGAGCCATATCTTGAGAAAGATATACAGTAGTTAATTTGATGGTTCAAAGAATGACGCTTGGTTTACAGTGTTGTCACAAGTGAAACTGCCTCTTCAAATAATTTGCAGAACATTATTTACAGTATATCTACCTCAGAAATAAAAACATTTTATCCAATACTTTATCTACAAAGATATTAATGCATAAGAAGGCAATCCATTAGAAAAAATACTGATAACATATGCACAATATATGAAAAAGAGATAATTAATCCTGCATTATAGAGTTATTCAAGGCTCTGTGTTTTCAATTTAGTTAACAACAATAGCTACCCCCTCTATATTTTCTTTAACCATCATATTTCTGGTTAAGTATATAAGTCTACTGCTATAAGTGAGTTAAAACAAGGAATGGGTTTGGGGTGGTGGTGGTGAATGTTCTCCACTATAATTTGGAGACAATGTGACTCCAAAGTTCAGCAAGGAAAAAGAATTACAAATGACTGAATATATCCTAATTTTCTTCAATTTCATTCAAACTGAACAAAGAGTCCAAAGGAGAGACAGTGTGCTATGATTGTTCTTGCCATTCAATCTTCTTGTTATGGACTTCATTAATACATGGTTCTTTTACCTGGAGGGTGGGGAGGAGAATACCCTCTTAAAGTTTGGTTTAGAATGAGCAAAAAGTGAAAACAATATACAATAGTAAATGAAGACTGGGCTAAAATCTTTGTTTACTGAGCAAGCTGAACTAAAGAAAACACAAATGCTATCTTTACACAGTATCATATTTTTATCATAATCTAGCAACAATCTCCAATTTTTAACAACTTGCTTAGATGCTTTTTGCTTTTAAGTGAAATTAAATAATTTTTGTGCGTAGGCAGAAAAAGTTCAATTTCAGTTAAAGTTCAGTTAAAAATTAGGATTTTGTAGAATCTACAAATAAATGAATGCATCCCCTACATAATTTTCCATAAAATGTCAACTCTCTAAAATATTTGAATTAAAGCCAGAAAGGCTATGGTTTTCCCAGTTGCAATGTATGGCAGAGAAAGTTGGACCATAAAGAAGGCTGAGCACCAAAGAATTGAGGCCTTTGAACTATGTGCTGGAGAAGACTCCTGTGAGTCCCTTGAATTGCAAGGCGATCAAACCGATCAATCCTAAAGGAGTTCAACACAGACTGCTTTTTAGAAGGCCAGATCCTGAAGATGAAACTCAAATACTTTGGCCACCTAATGAGAAGGAAGGACTCACTGGAGAAGAGCCTAATGCTNTCTCCTCTCCTCCCTGCACGCATCCCACTGATTAAAGTGCTTCCTCTGGCCCGCCCGATCTCTGCTGCGGGCGAAAGGGAGCTGGGAGGACAGGAGAGATTCCTCCCCACATGAACCCCACTGAAAGCGTGTGGATGGGCAGGGGAGCGAGCGACAGCTGATGGGCTGGGGAGCGGGACTTTTTGAAAACTGGGCGGGGCATGGGACAAATTGTACAAAAGCGTGCCTGTCACGCTGAAAGCGGGACGTCTGGTCACCTTATGTTTGTTCAATGTTGACAAAGGTTTTTAAAGTAAATCTTATAAGTTAATACCATAATGGAAACTGAAGTTCATTCCAAAAAAGACACAGATGATCTGACCTTCACAACATAGCACAGTCAGTATTTAATAGCACCCCTTTATTCTATTTCCCAGAAAATAATGTAAATTCTACCTTTTTCATGTGCACAGACTATTGAAAACCCAATACCTAGAAGAAATGAAATATTAAATTTATAGTATATTAAATGTCTTCAAAATACAAGTCAGGCTCTCTAGCTTTTTTGTATTTATGCCAGATGGCTTTTGATTTGAAATTCAATTTTTCCATGACTTAATTAAAACATTAACTGTCCTTGTTACAATAGAGAAATACCTACTACCATATTTGGACTAGAAATAGGATTGTTGTAATCTTAAGAAAAATGATTTATGGAGTAGATTATTATGTCAGAATGAAAAGACTCTATACCCCAAATCATATCAGCACTGTAATAAAATATACTGATTTTTTCATATACATAGTAAATTTGCAAAATACTTCTAAAACACATTAATTGCTGAGACCTGAATGCACCTATTGGCTGCATCTGATAATCTCAATCCAAAATTGAATGTTGACAGAGCCTGACCTTTCATTGAAGAGTTTAGAATCAATTCACATCAGGACAGCCGTTATTGTAAACTTGCATACAATTATAATACAAAAATAATTGAGCCACCCATTATTCTGCATCTGATTCTCAAGTATAAAGCTGGACTATCATATTTTACCCATGGAATGTGATCAATCGAATAAATTATTACAATTTTACTTAGTCATAGCATTCTTGAGAACTTTAAAGATAATTGACTTCTCGCTTCTGTCTCCCTACACATTTTCCTTTTTATCCTTCCTTCTATGTTCTTCAAGAGAATAGATTTCCTAGGAGTCATTTAACACTGCCAGCAGACGCCTTATAATCATGGTCTATTAACTCAAATGCTTTGCCTTTCTAAAAGCATCTTATCTACTTTGGTAGCAATTTTCAAAGATCTGAGGCAGAAAATCATTCTGCTATTTGTGCCTTTTAACTAGATAGCAGATGGGATTTTCTACCTGTGAAATATCTCTTCTACCACCCAAGCTATTGTTTCTCACTGTCCTTGGGTTTGTTAACCAGGGAATTGCCTACTCACCAAGAATAAGAAAACTGAAAATGCTCATCATCATCCGCTTGAATGAGTGAACAAATGGCTTGCTTCATGCGAATCACCCAGAGTTAAAGCATAAAGGAACTACAAAGTACAAGGAACACAATATTTTGGTAATGTACACTTCCTAAAATAAAAGGAGGAGGAGTACCATTCACCAAAGGAAGTAGCTTTCTTATTCAACATAATGTGTTATCCACAGACATTGCAAATTAACTAAATCCAGAATTGTGCCTGCTCTGTATGAGAGTCACTCAAAGATTTTTTTTAAAAAGAGAAAATGCCCCAGTATGTTCCTAATGTCTTTCCCAACAGAATATATTACCAAAAAGAAGAAAAAAAGATAAAAAATAAAGAAATGGCTTCCTGCTTTCTTCTCAGCAGTTATACATACACTTCTTTTCAATCCCCTCTAAGATTATGTTTTAATTCCATTATTTCTATAGCCTATTATTCTAATCATCAAACACATAAATCTCAAAATCATTTCCTTTTTCATACCGAAAAAACAACCCATAAGCAGCTTCCAGTCATTTATGAACATCAGTAATAACCTTTTACTAATCAAAGAAGTCACTTTGGTCATCTCAGCAAGTTCACCAACCATTCCCCCATGGTGGGAGTCTTTCCATCTTTGTGGATATGTAATCTCTCTCCAGCAGTCATACATTAAAATAATCTTCTGTGACCCTTTTCTGTTTATCCACCTGTCCTAAAATGAAAAGTTCTGGCTTCAGTATAACATCAATCTTTAAAATAAATTCTACTTTTGAGAAAGTAAGAATTTATCAGGTTTCTCAACTGTTCAATACAGCTTCCAAGATAAGCATCCAGCATTTTTCATTTTTGTAAATATGGGTTACTCATCCCATAGTTTTCTATGAAATCATTTTCAGAGTAGATTAAAAAAAATACAACTCCCCAAGAACCTCTGTAGAAATAATTAACAAGAATATGTGCAGAATACAGGTAGTCCTCAATTTACAACCATAACCAAGCCCAACATTATTGTTGTTAAGTGAGACATCTGTTTAGTAAGTTTTGCCTCATTTTATAACCTTTTCTGCCACAGTTGTTTTGTGAAACACTGCATATGTTCAGTTAGTAACATGATTGTTAAGTCAATTTGGTTTCTCCATTGACTTTGCTTGTGAGGTCCAAGAGGTTGATTACATGGCCCTGATACATTGCAACCAATTATAAATACGAGTTTGTTGCCAAGCATCTGAATTTTGATCATGTGAACATGGGGATCAGTGGTGGGATTCATTTTTTTTTACTACCAGTTCTGTGGGGCGGGGCTTTGTGGGCGTGGCATGGCATGGCTTGGTGGGCATAGCTTGGTGGGCATGGCAGGGGAAGGATACTGTAAAATCTCCATTCCCTCCCCACTCCAGCAGAAGGTTACTGCAAAATACCCATTCATTCCCGATCAGCTGGGAGTTGGGAGTCGGGAGGCAGAGAATAGATGGTGGTGGGGCCAGCCAGAGGTGGTATTTGCCAGTTCTCCAAACTACTTAAAATTTCCGCTACTGGTTCTCCAGAACTAGTCAGAACCTGATGAATACCACCTCTGATGGGGATGCTGCAACAGTCGTAAGTGTGGAAGATGATCTTAAGTTCTCTCTTAAAGTGCCATTGTACCTTTGAACGGTCACTAAAAGAACTGCTGTAAGTTGAGGACTACCTGCATAGTTCAATAGCTACAGTTATATATACAGCTATGCAGAAATATAATTGTACTGAAAAATCAATAGAGCATAATTGCTACTTAGGGAATCTTGTAAGCAAGAGGGAAAAAGATTCCCAAGAGTACAGTTTATAAGACATTAATAGGTCTGTCCAAATTACCACTTATTGTTTAGGCATATTTCTTGGCTTATATACATTAAACACAAATGTACACAAGAATAACCATCACCTTTCAAATTAAAATATAAATAATCTTTGGTTTTTATTCTTTTTGCAATAATACAGAAAGTTGTCAAATAAAGCCTAGATTAATAGTTGCTATTAATAGCAATAGCAATAGCACTTAAACTTATATACTGCTTCATGGTGCTTTAAAGCCCTCTCTAAACAGTTTACAGAGTCAGCATATTGCCCCAACAATAAGGTCATTTTAATGACCTCAGAAGGATAGAAGGCTGAGTTCAATCTTGAGTCAGTGAGGACTGAACTGCTGGCAGTTACAGAATTAGCCTGAAATGCTGCATTCTAACCTCTGGGCCACCATGTTGTCCTATGCTAACTTGTTTTTCCAAATGCTTTTAAAAAAAAACCATAGGGATATCATTTTACCATTTTCTCAGTTACCTGAGCAAAAGAGTTTCAACTACTACTCTACTCAGTTTTACAGCATACTCTCTTTATGCTGTAGAACTGTCTAAGGGCAATATAAACAGTTGAATGGCTGTTTCTTTCATTGTAAAACAGCCAATGATTTGGTGAGATAAGCCTGAAACAAATTGAAGAGCTGTCTAAGTGACATAATAATGTTCCCTGAAGAAATCTGGAAAATTTGGTTATAATTACAGTAATAGACCAGTAAGATTACCTAAAAGTGTTTAATTTTCCATCAATAAATAATACAGTAGTTATTAACATTGCATTGGCCTCTAGTGGTCAAAGACCATATCTGAAGATGTATTCAATTGGAAAAATAGTTGGGATTAGAAAAAAAGGATCTCATAGCTGATTTATACACTGGTAAAGGTAAAGGTTCCCTTCGCACATATGTGCTAGTNAAGCAGTAGGCGTGAGCTTAAATGGACTCTGGGACATAGTAGAGGACAGAAAGACCTGAAGGAAAGTTATCCATGGGGGTCATGATAGGTCGGACACGACTTCGCAACTAACAACAAAAAGTTTGCTGTAGTTTGCAGTTACGATGGTGATGAAAAAGTAACTTTGCAACAAATCCTTACATTTATAACCTTTGCATGTCTGTAAAGCAAGGAAAAGCTGAAATAAGGTTGTAAACACAGTTGCAGTTTCCCTTAGTAATTACATCACTAAGGGAAACTGCAACTGACAACCACAACTTTGTACTGACAACCGAATTGCCAGTACAAATTGTGGCTTCTAAATAATAATGAAGTGCCTGTATTTTCGAATTTCTCTGGCATAGCACCAAAAGACGAAAAGAAGACCTAGAACTGGTATTTCAGGAATTCATGTAGTCAATTCAAGATAATCCAGCTTTCTTCCACTGCCTGCTCTTTGTGAAAGATGGTGTTTGCATTGTAAGTATTAAATGGGTTAGAAAAATGACTCTACTGATGTCCTGGACATATACTGCCTGTAATAGGTACCAAGGCTAGTTACCCCTACCACTGTAAGTTTGATTAAATCTATCGGTCTCACATCTATCTTACCAAAGGGTTGCTGATGGGAACAGAGGTCATAGTTATCTCAGAAACAGGAGGTCTGATGTCTTTCTTGCAATAAATCCAATGCCAGTAAGCTTCTCTCACCTGAAGGTCCAAAATACAAAGTCACTCAGAAGAAGAATCTTCAATGCAATTGCCCCTACTTTGGGAATTGTTTGTAAGAATGAAAAGTGGGTTAACATCTAACAATTTTTAAAAAAATGTGTTCTTATTTATTACTGAATATTTCAATAACTACATTAATAATTATCAGATTTCCTTTCTTCATTGTCTTTTCTTTAAATTGATCTTTCTCCTATTCAATCTATTTTGGCCCAATCTTTACTAAGGTAATCCTCAATTTACAACCATAATTGGGACCTGAATTTGAGTCATTAAGCATGTGGCAATTATGCAAAACATTTCATGACTGAACCCAATTTTATAATCATTTTTATCATGGTTGTTAAGCAATCACACAGTTGTTAAGCAAATTAGCATGGTCGTTAAGCAAATCTGGCTTCCCCAATTGACTTTGCATGTGGGAAGCTGGCTGAGAAGATTGGCAAATCACAATTACATCTCTGCGATGTTGCAAGGATTGAAAATATGAGCTAATTACCAAGTGCCCAAATTGCAACCATGTGTCTGCAGGGATGATGCAACAAGTATAATTCAGGTTAGTTCATAACCCACTTTTTCCTACACTGTTGCAACTTCAAACCATCCTTTAAAATGGTCATAAGGAGATGACATTCACCTCCTAACCATTACATACACCCACCCACACACTTTTTTTCTTCAATGAAAGAGAAACTGGTAGTTTTATACTAGGATCTCACAAAATCCTGAAGCTAGTCTTGAAAACCTGGACCATAAGAACGTCTATGGAGATTCTCAGTCATCCTAGTCATGGTTGTCCCAAAGGTGCTTTTTCAAGAGGCAACTGAACTTTCTGGTTTTTCTTTGATGATGTTTTGCTTCTCATCCAAGAAGCTTCTTCAGCAGTGACTGGATGGTGGGGAATCCATTCCAATGAAATCCTTCCATTCTCCACCATCAAGTCAGAGTTGAAGAAGCTTCTTGGATGAGAAACAAAACATCTTCAAAGAAAACCCAGAAAGTCCAGTTGCCTCTTGAAAAAGCACTTTTGGGGCATGGACCATAAGATTTTCTGTTGTAATCTAACTTTTGAAATTGTGCTGTTTGTTCAAAGAGTAGACCTCTGTTTTTCTATACATCACCTTTTGGTTGAGTAAGCAGTGCACCAGGAAGATGAAGATTCCCTGTGCACTGTTGAAGATGGTGAACATGTATGCCATAACATCTTCCAAAGGACCATATTGAAAGAAGCCAAAACACCAAGTCACACCCAGGATGAACACATGGGCTATGGCCTTAAACATCAGTGATCTACAACAATAGCAAAAGATTAACCATTAACAGTCCTACATTGTGACAAACATTATGTAGTCTAAAATATTATGAAAAAGAATTTTGAAAAAGTTTTTGGCCAAATTGCCAGGATCATACTGAACTACTATTTTCATACTTTATGATTGATAAATTACCTGGTATTTCTGACTGAAGATATCTCTGAATTGAGAGAGGCCAGTTTTTCATGCAAAGTCCTCAGAATAAGACAGAAAAACACTAGGTTGACCTTTGGGGGGGGGGGAGAAGAATAAATCTTCTGAGATAAATATGATAACAACAACAAGAAGAAGAAATAGATCATGCCCTAAGACTAGATGAGCTGAAGGAAAGAAAACTAAAGTTAGTTTGTGTTCATATACTTTGCTAATTGATTGTTTTAAGTAAGTAGATGTTCACTTCTATTTTAATTCCAGATGAGAAAAAGAAACAAACGTTTTCTTGATTCCAAATGTTTTTCCCCAGTTCATCCTTTCTTTCCTCCCCTCCCAAAAAAGTTATTCCTACAATATAAAATTCCAGCCATTAGCAAATTATTGAAATTCAAGAATTCCCTTTATGTAACAGATTTTCCTACATTATTTTAAATGTGGTTTCCAAGCAAAGTCTTTTACCACATTACTCATGAAAGATACCATAGTTCCCCCAAAACAAGACAGGGTCATATTTTCTTCTGACCTCCGAAATAAGCATTTGGCCTTATTTTCGGGGAGGTCTTATTATTTTTGAGGTGTAGGAGGTGGTGAGCATCATCACCCCATGGCTGCTACTGTGTTGCAATATTTTCAGAGAGGGCTTATTTTGGGGAGAAGGCTTATTTTAGTGCATGTGCTCAAAAGCCCAATGGGACTTATTATCCGGGGAGGTTTTATTTTTAGGGAAACAGGGTACATCCTCTTATAAAGACTGAAAAATCAAAGAAGGATGGCGTATCTGATTTAGTTGCATTGATATCAGGCTTTTGTTTTTCTTCCTAGTCATGTTAGAAGAAATGTTGTGTAAGAATCTTTCATTTCTCTGCTATTAAAAAGAGAGAGGCGATGTTTACTCACCACAATTATTACACAGACAGGTCCCATAAAGCTCCAGATAAAATCTGGATCAAGCCAGCAGCTAAAGAAAGAGAAATATCATCAGGAGAAATTTGGGCAGATATGCAAACACTTCAATGTACCATACAGAGTTGGATTCCCTGAGTTTTATACTAGCAATGGCTTTCATGTAGTTTATATCTTGGTGGCACCTGGCTTAGGGAAGCAGCTTTTAACCATATGCTAAGACTTACCTATACAGAGTCCCAAAGGCTCCAGGTTTAATGGCTGCAGAAATAGCTACAATCAGGACAGGGAACCCATAACCAATGAGGTACATGGATATCTTCATATATTTGCTGGCCCCACTGTAATTGGCCACTTTCAAGTTTCTGGCAATGAGGTAGAGATTGACAGCTTCCAAGAACATCCAGACAAAACAGGCCAAAAAAAGATACTTCAGCATTCCAGCTATGACCGAACACAGGATCTGAATCAAAAATAAAATGTTATTTCTTTATCAGCATCTGATTCCTCAATTGTTGATTTTGAAAGAAAATCAAGAAAGGGCAACAAAAATCAGAGGAATGGAACAAATCATATCTCTCTGACCCTCATCTTTCCAGCAATAGAGCTACAAGAAAAAATATGTGCAAAGTAACTTTTTTTTTCATTTCATATATGGAAATATTATAAAACTAATACAAAAAAGGTTAAAAGAATTGAGCTTTCAAAGAAAACTGATTCAAATCACTTGATCTAAAGAAAAAAGAAGACTAATTTGAACTGAGTAGGAAGTACTTGTCCCGACAAAAAACCCTTTTATTAATATACTGTGAATTCTGCTCATTCACATCCAGCGAAGTGTTTCAAGGGAGAATTTACAGTCACAGACCTTATCTGGTTTGGAGAACTGGCTGGCCGATATCTGCAAAACTTGACAAGCAGTCTTGCAGAGTCACAAACCAATTAAGTAAACAAATTAGCAATAGCAATAGCATTTAGACTTATATACCGCTTCATAGGGCTTTCAGCCCTCTCTAAGCGGTTTACAGAGTCAGCATATCGCCCCCACAATCTGGGTCCTCATCTTACCCACCTCGGAAATATGGAAGGCTGAGTCAACCCTGAACCGGTGAGATTTGAACCGTTGAACTGCAGTCAGCTGAAGTGGCCTGCAGTACTGCACTCTACCCACTGTGCCACCTCGGCTCCTGCAAATTGTCTCCTGCAAATTCCACTCTCCTTTTGCTCCTTTTTTATTTCCTCTGGGAGGGGCCATTCATCGTCCACTTGTGGCCTTACTCCCAAGCCAACCCCTGTTCGTTAGCTGTTCCCTTTTCTGGCAACTCTGCCCATGCACACACTGGGAACAGGCTCCAGCTGTTTGTCTGACTCTGAAGTCAGCTTATAACTGGCATACGGCTCTGGCCTCCTCTCTGCCTCCGACCCAGAACCCTCATCAGAGCCTTCCCCAGACTCCAGGACTGGCCCATGTTCCTTCCCAGCCTCCTTACTGTCCAAATCTGCTGTCAGCTCTACTGGTGTGCCACAACAGTCACATATTCTTCTGAAATACCTTGTTGCCTGTTTTATCTATTCCAGTTAGGAAGAGGAGGTCTGCAAAAAACAGGCAGAAGCTCAGTTGTAGATGAATGAAGGTGCTGCTGTTGTGGCTGGCGCGGCAGAAGAGGAATGTGACAATACACAGGAAGAGACAGATGACTGAGATGGACAACCCAAGGTAGCTAATAATAGTGAGGATCAGATCTCCCTGGAANCTAGTAAAAGTAAAATGGACAGAAGCATTAATCTGTGAGTTGCGGGGTGGAAAGGGAGAGGGAATGTTAGATATCCTATTAGCCGACTTTCTTTTAGAATATGTTATAAAGATGTAAAGTTATGGCAGATTCATTGAGACTGGAAAAAAAAATGCCAGTAGGTAGTTGTGTCCTTAAAACCCTAATTAAATGAAAATTGTGGTATAGTGATAGTAAAATATATAAATTCTAAAATGTACAACTCAAACTGAATGAAATATACGTAATGATTGTGAAAGAAACGCACGAAATGTACCTATAAACAATGGATACACTTTCTACAAGATGCAATGAAAGATGATTTTTTGTGTGTTTTTCTTTAATAAAAACAATAAAAACTTTAAAAAAAAGAATTTTATCAGAAATTATTACAAAACCTTATACTACACATCATCTCTTTATATGAAAGTTGACATAAGGGGTGTTGATGCAAAGACTAACATGATTCCCTAATGGAAATGTAGTCACCGATGTTGGATTATTAATTATACAATTCTAGTTATAAAACTGCATTAAACTTTATTTTATTATACCAAGATTAAATAATATTGCTATTTAATTTCCTCCACATATAGAAAAATAGACTCATTTCCCTTTCCTTCTCTTATGTTTATAATGGTTTTAAGATATTGGAACATTGCTACAAATTATTCTGAAACATCATTTGAAAAGCTTATTTGAATGCCCAATTTGTCGCCCACCCACTTGCTTCTTGGGAAAAAGAAATTGTTCTCAACTATGAGCTATTCAGTTTGTAATAAATCTTACTTTCAAGGAGATTTCAGAATGTGTGTCATTTGCACAGAGGGATATCAAGAGTTTGAAGGTAGGTTCCATCTCAGAGTAATATGCATTGTTTTTCTAAAAGAAAAAAAAAGGATTATATGCTCTTCTCAAAACTCAGCTGGCAAGTGGACAAAGAAGCTATCCCCCCCCCCCCCTTGCCATAAATTGGAAACATGGTCTGGAGAGACATCATAACCATACGGAGACTTATATACTAATGAATGCGCATTCTTGAGCCATTCCTAGAATGAATTCAGAGAAATCGGTGCTATTATCTCCACCTTTTATCCAGTCCTTGCAAAGCTGAAAATAGTGGTGAAGAAAATATCTAACTGGATTCACTTGTCAGACACAATTAGAATTCATAAATAAGTATGCTTACTCAGGGGCTTTGGCCTTTTTAGCAAACATTTAGCCCATAAAATGAAAACTCCGCTAATCATTTAGCTCTTTTTTTCCCTCCTAAATTTCAGTTTCTATTGTTTTCATAATTCAGTTAACAAAGTACTTTCACCTGCTTTTTAAAATAAATTTCCAGCAAATTCCAGAAACTTTTTACAGCATATAAATTTTATTTAGAATCATTCTGATAGTGAGATGGGCAGTACCTAACTTAGATCAAGATAGATAGATGATAGATGATTGATATAGGAGGGAGAGGGAGGAGGAGGGGGAGGGGGAGGGATAGAGAGAGAGAGAGGGAAACGGAGAGGGAGACATGAAGTCTCCAAGTTTTAGCCTTTAGCCTCTTCTGGAAGAGTTAAGAAAATTAATAAGTCTTTATATCACAAAATTTAATAATTGCCCTTAAATTTAAAAAATCCGTTTCATTTCTTCCTTCATAAAAAAAGTATTCTCTCTAGATGTTTTCAAGATTCCAAATCATAGCAATTAACAAATTAATAACAAAGAGCAAATAAAACACAATATAATGCAATACTTCAGCTACTTTCAGTCATTCACCCTGTATTCCCATTACTATAATTCTCAGTCACAAAATTAACTCATATTGGTTTCCTTACTTGTTTCCATTCTTTTTCGCACATTTTTAAATTGACATTTTTCCTCCCTGAATCTTGTTCGTCGTAAAGGGGAATTTCTATGAAAGGAAATAGAAAAATTTAAATACAATGAAAAATTGTTTACTTAAAAAGTATAAAATATTTTCATGGCAGATAATGCTATACAGGTAAACATATTGGGTTGAATAATATTGACTCAAGATTCAAAGACGTTGAGTTTGGGGTTCATTATTTCTCAGAGCAATGTATTAAGCCTTGGCATTTTGTGTTGCAAGCCCTAAAATAGGTTCTGCTCAATTAATCTTTTTTTAATTTTCACAGCAAACATACGAAAAAGAAAAGCATTTGTCAATGTGAATGAGTCAGCTTCGAAACTTGTCACCAATGCACAACATATTGCAAATTGCACCCCATCCCCATATTTCATGGGGCTCCTGGCCATTAAAATGTTATCCATGAAAACATGGATTTCATTTCAGAATTCAGTTCATCATTGTTAACCTGTACATCTGACTTCATCAAAGCTGTTTTATTAATGTTTTAAAGTGGAATGTAGTTCAGGGTTCAGGAAAGAACCGTCATTTTGTAGTTGTTGAGATACTCATGTGGACATAGTTAACCTGTGCGTAGTAGTAGACAGTGACACCACAGAGTTCACAAGAGAGGTTTATCAAGCACTATCAGAGGCATCTAGTTAGCCATTGCAAGAAATCCATAATGCGGAACAACCCATAATGGAATATTGTTGTTACTTTTAAAGCCCTACATGGTATCGAACCTGGGTACTTGAGAGACCGCCTCCTGCCAATTACCTCCATACGACCAATTAGATCCCACAGATTAGGCCTCCTCCGGATTCCATCTGCTAGCCAATGTCGACTGTCGATCACCTGGAGGAGGGCCTTCTCTGTGGCTGCTCCGGCCCTCTGGAACGATCTCCCCGTGGAGATTCGGACCCTCACCACCCTTCAGGCTTTCCGCAAAGCCGTTAAGACCTGGCTGTTCCGGCAGGCCTGGGGCTGATGAGTTCCCANGGCCTCACTAGGGAAGGCGAAAGCTAGGCCGCGGCGGCTACTGCCAGCCCCCGGCCTCGCTAGGGAAGTCCTTCGCAAGGAAAGATTTAAGATTTAATAAATTTGTATGCCGCCCAATCCCAAAGGACTCTGGGCAGCTTACATAAAAACAAGGTCTTCCCTTGTGACAGCTAGGCCGCGGTGGCTACTGCCAGCTCGCGGCCTCAGTAGGGAAGGTGAAAGCTAGGCCGCGGCAGCTACTGCCAGCCCGCGGCTTCGCTAGGGAAGGCCTTCGCAAGGGAAGGTCTTCCCTTGTGACAGCTAGGCCATGGCGGCTACTGCCAGCCCGCGGCCTCACTGGGGAAGGCGAAAGCCAGGCCACGGCACCTACTGCCAACCCACGGTCTCACTAGGTGGAAGGTGGAAATATGAAGTTCGAGTCAATGGCAGATCGATGGTGATATAGAGGGAGTAATTCGTCTTCCCAAAACAGCGTGGAAAGGGGGGCAAAAGTCTGGGTGGCTGAGGTGGTGTCCCTGAGGCAGTAGTGGGCAGCAGTAGTCGTAACAAAGAAGCGAGGTTGTAAGTCTGGAAGTCCAAAAGTCCAATGTCCGTAAACAAAGAGAGCCAGATGGTAAAGATGGTAAGGAGAGGAGGCCCCGCAAGCGGAAAAAAAAAGCGAAGGAGAGGCCATGCCACAGAGAAGCCCCAATCGAATGGGACGGGGAGGGGGCGCCCAAAAGTTGACCAACAAAGTCAGCTGTCCACTTCCGTCCAGTGCCGCAGCAAGTCGACCATCCCACTCTCTAAAGATGATGATAGACTGGTGTAACTTCGAGGGCGCCTCCTGGTCGCAGAAACAAGGACAGAAGCCGCCAGGACCGCCACAAGCTGACGGGGCAATGAGGGGGGGCTTGGTAGGGCCGTGGCGGCGGCAACAAGCCAGCCGCCTGATCTCGTTCAGCGCCATCCAGACCAGCCATCTCCCTTCTAGCATGATGGTGTCTAATCTAATCCTAATGTAGTCCAAGGCTCTCCTGAGTGTAGTCCAAGGCTCTTCCGAGTCCAGAAAACAAACCTGAAGAACGGCGTTGTTAAAGACTGCCGGGAGCGGCACCATCAGTGTAGCGGCGCCATCTTCGCCGCCAGGCAAAAGAAACTGCCGAAGCAACCGTGCGGGCTGCGAGCCGGCCGAGAACAATGACGCCCTAGCTGGTTGCCTGCTCAGGTCCCCTGGGTCATGCGGTACCATTGGCACCCCTTCCCATATAGACTCGCAGCTAAAACGACAGTGTTGTTTAGCATTTTGTCAGCCTACCTAGCCGGAGCAAGAAAGCTGATGACCATTTGCAGACTTGCACATGCGCAGAACCTAACCCTTATGACAGCTAGGCCGTGGCGGCTACTGCCAGCCCGTGGCCTCGCTAGGGAAGGCCTTCGCAAGGGAAGGCGCCGTCACCCACCCGAAGCCTCTCAAGTCTCGCTGCCGGAGTTGCTTACCTGAAGCAGCAAGAAGGCGAAGGCGAAATGGAGACTCGAGCCAAGCAGCGCAAAGCTTAAACTTTTCCGCCCCCAGCCAGCTCACTGATTGGCTGGACTCCAGCCAATCAGTGAGCGGCAAGCTGGGCTGGTTTAAACTTAGTGAGGATGGGCAGGGGAGGGAGTGAGCGAGCTGCAACATGGCAAAAATGGGAGATCGAGCAAGCGAGCGAGAAGGTGCCAAAATTAAAAATGAAAAATCAGGACTTTTTGATAACGACGCAGGACGCGGGACAATTGTAGAAAATAGTGACTGTCCCGCCAAAAGCGGGACCTCTGGTCACCTTACTAAAATTCCTTTACTATTTAAATACAGACAAGGACACAAATTGGTGAGATGATAACATCTGGCCGCATAGAATGAAATAACAAAGTGGCACAGATAAGATAAAGGGGTCTGCAGGAAAAGTCATGCTGTTCTCTTGAAATACGAATTAATCTCAAAGAATGATTTTGGAAATGGGGAGGGCTTCTTCTTAGGCATCATGCGTAATGATTAGAATGGTATAAATTGTATTACTTGAAGTCTGTCCTTGAGCTCCTTGTACCCAAGCCATTGGGAAGAGTCTGCTTTTTCAATTTCTTTGCAATAAA